GGGGGGGTTATTTATCATTTTTTTCTGTTTCTCTTTCTTTGTATTTCTTCCATCTCATAGTTCCCTTTTGCAAATAAATCTCTATTTCCTGCCCCCGCTCATTCACACGCACACGCACGCACACACACACACACACACACACACGCCCGCACACACCCCACATACACACATACATGCACTCACTCATACCCGCCACCTTGTATTCATACACCCTCATGTTCTCAATCTCTTTCAAACTTACTGACAAACTCTCATCTTTTCTCTCTCTCTCTCTCCCACCCGACAGACAACCGGTTACAGCAGCAGAGCTCCCACCTCCACTCCCAGAATGTCCACCTTCAGGTCGAGATTGAGAGACTCAAGGAGGAGAACCTGTCTGGACAGATACGAGGCGAGCCGGGGTGAGTCATTCACGTGGGCTAAGTCTTTTCCAGCATTTTCCGACGTTTGATTAATTAATTTTTTTCCATTATGATTTATAATAGCACGATAGATGTAAAATGGTCCAGCAATTTCCGACTTTTTAGTCATTTATTTTTTACGTTATGATTTATAATATCACAAGGAGGAGAACCTGTCTGAACAGAAACGAGGAGAACCGGGGTGAGTCATTGGTGTGGGCTAAGTCTTTTCCAGCGTTTTCCAACATTTTATTGATTAATTTTTTAAAAATTATGATTTATAATAGCACGATAGATGTAAAATGTTCTCCTGTTTAATTTAAAAGACACCCACTTTTTTTCTTTCTCCTAGACAATGGAAGGCGGTCTTAGACAATTGCCACCGTATTTGAAGATGACAACATCCCTTTTGATAATTTGGGGGGGTGAAAGATCAGATTGTAATCAGAACCTCGTAGGTGGTTAGCAGACGCTCTGGTGTGGTTTGCTCCCTGTTTCCTAACATACATATATAGTGCTTGTAATCTCTCCTCCTTTATTTTGGTTTTTACTCTCTTGTAAAACCTCATAAGAATTTTGCAGAACTGATATGACCTAATTGTATTGCCAGAGCAGTAAGATTGTTATTAAAACTTTACTAAAAAGAACGGAACGTCAAAGAAAACTAGAAGCATTAATTTTTCACCTTGTTGGAAATACTGTTTTCAGTTAGATAATTGATTATGTGTACACAAATTTGTTTTTCAAAAATGAAAGTGTAAAAGTAAAACGGAAAAGTAAAGACAATTTGTGAACTTCAAATCGTTGTTTCAAAATCCACACCTTCCTTCCTCCCCCCCCCCCCCAAAACGAAAAGGAAAATAAAAGACAAAAAGAAGAATGAAAAGAATGTTTCCAAATCTGCAGAGGAATAAAAAAACAAAGAAACCCCAAACTAGTCAGGATGCAGCTTTTACGGGCCAGCCAACTTTTTGAAGAAAACTGAACTTATTGTAAGAGTGTCGTAACTGTCTCCCTGTTTCCAATCCTCAGCATCTGTTATTATGTAGTGATGGCTTTGGGCCATGTTCTGTCTCTCCTCCATTGACAGTCTAACTCCCCCCCTCCCCCCGCCCCCATTCTCCCTCCACCTATCCATTTCATCTTGTCATGGCTTTAGGCCATGTTCTGTCTCTCTCTTCCATGGACAATTTACCCCTCCCCTCACACCCCCCACAGCTATCCGTCTCACCTTCCATCTCCACCCGCCAAGGCACCCATCCATCACCGTCTGTCTCTAACTCTGCCCACCTGGTACACCTGTGCTTTTCGTTTTCTGTCTTCAGTCTGTCATGCTGTCCCCACAGTCATTTTCTTTGTCGTTTACTCTTCTTTCTCTCTCTCTCTCTTTCTCTCTCTCTCTCTCTCTCTCTCTCTCTC